TACAAAGTGCTAATACTTGTCTTCATAAGCCAGACATAAAAATTATTTGGGATACTTCTGGAGAAACACCTGGAGATTACTATCTCTGCCAAACACCTGGAGATTACTATCTCTGCCATCAGAAAAGAGACCATAGATTACTATCTCTGCCATCAGAAAAGAGACCATGTCCATGTCTTGAGATTGATAGCCAAGAATGCCAACTGCTGTCACAATGATGGAGCCAGCACGGTGGTGGAAGTCATCAAGCTAGCCAAGGAGAAAGGCATCAAGAGCAGCTACCTTTTGGCAGGTGGCACCTCAAGGACACAAGGAGCTTGCAAAGAAAGAAGTTCCTATGGGCAGACGATGCTTACAAAGAAAACAACATGCCCCTTGGGCAAATGCATAAATACCTTGTCTTTTCATCCTTGCACACTTTAATCTTCAGATGGTATTGTGTTACTTTATTAAATGCAACCAGAAGATGTAAGGAACAAGAACGATTATTTTAAAGATTGTTGGAGGAGGAGGGGGGATATGTTCGTGTGCATGTAGAACTTCATTTCTAAAGAGCATTTATTTAGTACATTTCACACAGCACAATGACCCTTTGTGGAGTAGTGGGTTATACACTAGGCTGCTACCACAAAGTCAGTTGTTCAAAGCAGCCCGGTGCTCAGAGGGAAAACGAGGAGGCATTCTGTTCCCATTTGAACTTAAAGCCTCAGAAGCCCACAAGAGCAGTTCTACACTGTTCTGTAGAGTCGGTGTGAGTCACAAGTGACTTGAGGTCAGGGAGATTTGAACGCAAGGCAAGTGTAGGGCTCAAAGACCATGTCTGTGAGGAGTGAAAGGCAAGGTAGGAAGAGAAGGTAAAAACGAACTTTTCATAGTTTTGAAATTTTTATCATTACAGACCCCTAACATTACCCTTTGTAAACATTTAATAGAGAGAAGCATCTAAGAGATCAGATATGTTGTGTTTCTGAAAGGTATGTATAAGATTAAGTCTATTTTATTTTCAATTAATTAATTATCCTTACTTGTAAAATGGTATAATAAAATATTCTTACTCTATTTCTTCATTGATGATCCTTACTCAAAGGACAAGCCAACCTTTGTGGTTACTAAGAGCCCACGACTTTCCCCTCCCCACCCACCCCCATAGGTTAGTGGAGCACATTACCATTAGAGGTATAAATTATTGCTTGTTTTGAAAGTTTAAATGTCATATTGCAGGATGATTTTTGAAACTGCATGACTACAAGAAAAAAGGTTGTAATCAAAGAAACAGAACATTCAGCTAAATGGTAGCCAAAATATATGCCATAATTCACATTATCTTCAAATAATCGTTATAGAGAAAAGATGGTACTAAAAAAATTGTTTCTGTATAAGAAAACGCTCATTGTATGTTATGAGTGTACGGGAAAAACACAAAAAGCTAAACCATTACAGTCTGCAAAGAACCAAAGGACGGCAAAGTGAAAAAGACAATATTTGAAGTGGTGGGATTCTGAGCAGTAAGATGGCAGATTATGTAAGCTAGAATTCTATATTTCTCCCTTTCATTTTTCTTGGCTCTTATTTTTAAATGGCTTTGAAAAGAAATGAGGCTAATATCGTTTAGGAGAACTTTAGGCATGTGTTTAGAATCAAGTCAAGGCTACTGATACAAGAATAAGAAAACTGTTCAGGAGACAATTTCTGTGTAGCTGGAACTTGTCAAGGTTTGGGAAAGAATTAACCAAAAGACAAGCTAAAACAGGTAAACAGCTTGAAGAGTTTAAAGCACGTGTCTTGTATAAGAACTCACACTCCGGTACTTTTCAGTCTTTCTCACTAACTTTTTATGTTATTGTATTCTTTCTATGCCATGCCCAGCTTTTCTGGCACTGTAATATAAACTGAGTAACCTAGACAAATAAAAAGCATAAAGGAAACATTCCAGAACATGAGTAGCAACACTGGTGGCTGATAAGTAAATGTTTTCTGTAGCTCAAGAGTACAATATCTCATCAAAGTTTTATGCCAACATAAAAATTATGATTAAGATTCACTTCCTTGGGTCTAGATTTGGAGCTAGCAGTTTTCAAACTGGGTGTGACTTTGCTTCCAGGAAACGTGGTAATGTCCGAAGACATTTTGCATTGTCAGGACCAGTGGGTGGTCTTACAATGCAGAGGACAATGCTTCCTAACCTCACCCCCTTTAAAATAAGAGAATTTTGAGAAATCAGTTGGGTAGAAAATATATTTGAGTCCCTGTGTTATAGAATGAGAAAAAATTTACCAAAAAGAAAATTAATTCTCACGATTTAGCAATATCAACGTAATCTTTTCTATTTCAAAAAGAAAAGATTTTTAAAAACACTCAATAGTAGAAGTGCCAACAATCGCTAGCAATCTATTCCCCAATAAAACACCGGCACCACAGAGCAGCATTAAGCTTTTCTCTAGGCTTAATGTAGATAAGGATATTAAACCTATCATTTATAAACCTGACACACAAAAGATCATTGTCAAACTAATTTCTAAACTCCAGCTTTAAGATGAAAGTGAAATGCTCTGAGGAAAAATAAAGAATCTTCCACACCCACTTATTAACAATGTTCTATGACACACACATCTGTTGTGCTTGCTCAACTGTGCTATGTTTCCATGATTTCTCTAATAGCATTAACTATTCAAGATAGCTTACTCTCAAATACATTCAGGCCTCATGCGAATGATTTATTTAGCCTAAATTACATTCAGAGTTCGGTGGCTATATGTCTGTCACATTACAAGTAACATAACCTATTAATATAATAGGATATCTAGCAATAAATCAATTTTAATTGATTACAAGTAACAGTTGACTTAATTTACAATAGGTTATTTATTTTTACGTGGCTTCATTGGAATTTGATATTTAAATGATTGACAATTTTATCAAATACTTTAAAATTTTTATTAACATAAAGAAGAGGGTTCAAAAGACCAAGCTTGTGTGTAATTTTTGTTTTCCTCTCAATTAAAAAAATTATCATTTAGCAACTTGAAACACAGGGAACCCAGGATAGATGACTTCGTCAGGACCAGCGGTGAGAGGGGCGAGGCCTGGAGGGTGAAGGGAATGAGGGGTAGAAGGGGGGAACCGATTACAACAATCTAAGTATAGCCTCCTCCCTGGGGAATGGACAGCAGAGAAGAGGGTGGAGGGAGACGTCGGACAGGGTAACTTATGACAAATCTATAATAATTTATGAATTATGAAGGGTTCAGGAGGGAGGGGGCAGGGAGGGGGAAAATGAGCAAGTGATATTGAGGGCCAAAGTAGAGGGCAAATGTTTTGAGATTGATGAGGGCAACAGGTGTACATAGGTGCTTGACTCAATGGATGTATGTATGGACTGTGATAAGAAATGTATGAGCCCTCAATAAAACAATTAAAAAAAAAAGTTAAATGTGTACCCATCATATAACTTAGCAATTGGATTTCTAGGTATCTACCAAGAAAAATAAAAATATATGAATATAAAAAAAATTATCATCATCTTCTTAAAGTTTCAAATACTTGTAATTATCATTGATTTTCTACTTATCTTGCTATAATCCCCCCTCCCCCACATACACATTATGAACCATTTTCTGTCATACATCTCCGAAAGACAGTGAGCCCTGATGGCTTTGTGGTTACACCTTGGTTTGCTAACCACAAGATCGGCAGTTTGAAACCCCCAGCCACTCCTTAGAGGAGAAAAGGGCTTTCTAGACCCTTACAACATCACAGTCTCAGAAGCCCACCCTTCACACACCTCAGTGTTCAACAGCTTTGCTCAAGCTTGAGGTCCAGAGACACTGTGGAAGCCCACTGTCACAAGAGGCAACAGAAGGCAGGTACCGACACACAAGGCTACAAAGCATGCAATGTCACAACACCAAATCCTGGCCGGATTTTAATAGTGGGGGGGGGGGGGAGTTTTGAACATGGTTAAAAGTTTCCTATTTTGCCAAGTGCAACAATAAAGCTATTACCATAAATTTATTTTTGAAATTTCCAATTTGGGAAATCAAAAGGTAAAAGTCACAGAAAAGAGAAAATTTTCAGAGAGAAATTAAAGCTACTTATGTCACCTATTTAATCACTTCTTCTAAAAAGTATTAAAATACTGACCATCTGAAATCACATTAAAAGAAGTCCTGGTGGCATGTGGGTTGTGAACTGGGCTGCTAAGCAAGGTCAAAAATTTGAAATTTAAATTGACATGAGATAAGGATTTAATTTAGTAACCTATCACTGACACAGTGGCAAATATAAGTGATATTCAAAGAAACTAACCTGAACCAGAGACATTTTTTAAAAGTCTACACAGTAAAATAGTACAACCAAAGTCACTGCCACGGAACCAATCCTGCCTCACAGTGACCCTATGGGAGGTGGGAGACCTGTGGAAGCAATCCTGCCTCACAGTGACCCTATGGGAGGTGGGAGACCTGTGGAAACAATCCTGCCTCACAGTGACCCTATGGGAGGTGGAGACCTGTCCCTGTGGGCTTCTGCGACTGTCAATCCCGGCAGGAGTAGAAGCTTCATCCATCACAAGCTGAGCAGCCATGGGGTCCGGCTACTGACTGTGCAGTTAGCAGCCCCAGGCAGAACTCGCTGTACCACCAGGGTGCCCTCCCCCAGTAAGATAGTCTTATAGTCTTTGGTCTTTGATAGCCTATTAACAAGTGGTAGTTTATTCCTATTTTTGCATGACTTTAGAATCAAGATATTAGCAGGACCATGAGATGGAAAACATCAAATTGACCAATCTACATGTATTTATCTTAAGCATGTAATACACACACACAAAATTTTTTAAAGAGCTAGAAATACAAAGAAGTATAAGACTTAATCCCCACAATATTGATGTAAATAGTTTTACGAAACAAAACGTTTTTGTGTATTTTTGCATAGCATTAATACGTAAGGATACATGCTATTAATAACAATCTTTTAGTTTGTTTTTTTTGAGGGGCAAACTTTACCTTTTCAGTTGTAAGAGGTTTTGAAGGCTTCTCTGGCTCCTTTTCTTTTTTTTTCTCTTCCTTTTTTTTTTCCTTTTCTTTCTAAAACATAATATAACATTTTGATAAGCCTCGTTTTTTAAAATATCAAACTTCTAAGACATTCCCAAAATCATATTAGTATCAATCATCATTTGATAAAGAGGGAAGTCAAAGACAATATCCAGATGATACTGAAATATAAAAATGAACATAGCAAATTAATGCTCTTTTAAGATTACATGATGACAATAAAGAATATCTTTAAAAAAAACTGGGCCAAGGTAAGACAATTTAAAACATCTAGTATATTTTAGTATTTGCTTTTTGTTTGTTTCAAACAAAATAAGACCTTTGCTCAGTAAATTCTTACTGTATCCTTGCATAAGTTGGGCTCCTACAGCTGCTGCAGCTAGGTGTCATATAAAGTTAGATCTGACTCACTGACCACCATATGAAGTAGAGCGAAACATTGCTCAGTCCTGTGCCAGCCACACAGTTATGTTGGTTGGAACCATGGTATCAATCCATCTTATTGGGGACTTACTGCAGCAACCATAAAGTTAGATTTTTAAATAAGAAGGAAAAGTAAATTAACTGATGAAACAAAACTCCCATGTGGAAGAAAAAGAGATCACAAAAGGTAAATACATGGGGAAAAGTACAAAAATTACTTTTAATTTTTAAACGCATCACCAAGTAATTTTTCAGTCTATTATCATGGACTGCAAAAATACTGCGGTAGTTACACAATTTCATGTCAACTTGATAAAAGCATATGGGGGTGGAATGTAGCCTGTCAATCATCAGGTCCCAGCCTGATAATCCCTCCTTGTAGGTGTGGCCTTCTCAAGAGGATTCTGGGAACTAACACACACTCTCTTTCTCTCTGCTACACATTCCTGTTGACAAGTCACACGAACTATACTGATGGCAGCCAGAGCCCTGGAGATGAGTCCACTGCCATTGGATCCACAGGACTTTCCACCCGTGATTTTCCTGCCTTCGGCATCAATGTATGTGCTGCATGACTCTGAAGAGGAATTTATGGGCTAGTATCAACATATGTACTAATAACAGACTTAAGGACTTGAACTGGACTGGGATATTTTTAAATATATAATTGTTCTTTCATATAAAGCTCTCTCTTATACACATGAATATCTCTGGATTTGTTTCTCTAGTCTACCCACACTAACACAAATATATTAATTTTCTCAAGGGAAAAATAGTAAGAATTATTGTTGTGAAATAGAACCAGCTAACTAGGTATTTAGGCCCCGGCAGTCAAAGTAACTACTGTGGTATTATGATGTTCACAATTATCTTTTAAAGATCACAAAAAGGAAAGTACTAGAAATGAATAAAGAATATTCATAAGTCATTTAGAAGGTCTAGAAAACTAAATTAGATGACTAATATAACTGAGCACTACCCTAGTCCTTAGTTTCTTACTAGCAAACACTAGAACTTAAACTAGGAAAGGCAGCATTATACACGTACAGAAAATTATCTAAAGGTTGTGTTTGTACCTGTGCCAATGCAATAGTATTGGGCACAACTTCGGAGGAGCAATTTTGTTATCTGTAAACCAGGAAAGGTAATACCTGTCATCTATAGACCATAAGGTAAAAGAAACAATAGAAGTACAAAGGGTTTGCCATCATTCATATAGAGTTCAAAAGCAGACAAAACTATTTGCTTAGTGGTATATCTCTTTATTATTGTACAGCTATGAGGTTAAAAAGTGATCATAAAAATCAGGCTATTGATTGAGGAATGTTTTTTATAAACAGGATGAGTCATATGGGGAACATCTAAGGGGTTGACCATGTTCAATTTGAATACTGGTGATAAGGTATATATTTTATAATTTGTCATTACTAAGCATATTTCATGGGCACTTTATTATCAAAAAGAAAATGTGAAATTAAAATTTTCAAAAAAAGAACTCTGAAAACTGTAAAACATTACTCAAATATACAACACTATCACTTTATTATTTGCTGTCTACTACAAAAAAGAAAGAAAAACCTTGGCCCCAAGTCCAAATTCTAAAAGCAAGTTGTAGATCTTTATATTGAGAGCCCAAATATACAAGGTTTTTAACTGTAATTTTAGGAACAACAGATACATCTTAAAGTACTTCTCTTATTAGCCTTTTCTTTTCCTAACCTTAAAACAAAACAGAGTGCAATAGTAGCCCATAAATCAGGGAATGCATTTGTAATGGCGCTACTAAGCCTACAGTGGTATCGTTCTGTGATAATTGAAGGATACAAGAACAAAACTTGGAGAAGTTAGCCTCCCTGAGACTAAGCTTCTCTAAAACAACCTGTTTCAACAGTGCTTATCAGGAATAGGATAAAAGTTGATGCAAAGTTGAACTTGCTGAATGTTTGAAGTGCTAAAAACTGAAGCATGATCTCTATGCTTTCACCACCAGATGACGTGTCAGAACTGCCTATGAACATGAGGTGTACTGATAGTATTAATAGAGAGAAAACCATCTTAGATTTTTGGCTGTATTTCTCACATCGATTTTTTAAATACTGGTCAAGTGCCTGGTGTGGGCCTTGCTGAGAGTCCCATTTTAAAGATGGCTAGACATTATCTAGTGTGACTCAATCATCTTCCAAATCAAAATCTTCATTTCCATAACACTCACTCTTACAGCCAGAGTTGAATCCAACTCATAGCAACCCTATAGGTCAGAGTTCAACTGGCCTGGGGGGTTCCAAGGCTAAAAAATAGAAAGCCTCATTTTTCTGCCTCAGAGCAGCTAGTGGTTTCAAACTGAAGACCTTGCAGTCACCGCCCAACATGTATCATACCCACTATACCAGCCTTTTCTAAATACGGCTACCACTTCTTATATGCTTCCTAAGGGCCTAAAATTGCCAGTATCTTAACATCTTACTGTCAAATTTAACCTGTATAATCATGGTCTGAAATTAAAGTAGTTACTGCCATTATACAAATGAAGAGATGGCATTTTAGAAGGAGTAACCAAAGCAACCCAAGTAATCAATGGTGGATCTGACGGACTACACAGTCCAGACTACCAATCCTCCCTACTCTGCGTGACTCCAAAGGAATTGCACTATTACTCTTATTGTTGCTCTTCCTTACAATAGCAGCTATTATTTACAGAAACCTTACTACACACAGGAACTGTTTAGATTCGCTGAATTTCTAAAAACAAGTTTAGGAGACAGGTATTACCCCCTGCTTTGTAAGTGTCGAGTAAATGTGATATGCAAAAGTCCTCTACAAATTCTAAAATATTTCCTAAATATTATTAATAAAGTTTGGTAAGGACAACAAAGTAATTCAACATTTACACTAATAGGTGGAATGAGTTGCCTCATAGCCTCTCAAAACAATGAAGCCATTGTCATGCAGGGAAAGAAACTCATCTTCCTAATCACTATGATTACCGGGCATACATTATTAAATCACCAGAAAGAAAACAAATGAATTATTTTTACAAGAGGGAGAACATGACTGAGCACCCTTTAACACTGGAATTTCAGCTGCCCACATGTGGGTGTCATTAGCCGATTCCGGCAGTGATATTTATGACACAGACTTTAAGGTTAACGTGAATAGCATGGGACTAAAACTCAGATCATGCAGTCTGATCCACGGCTCCCTGCCCCCCACAGAATCAAACGCCGCAAGAAGATCAAAGAGTACTGTGAGAACTTATCAGCACACCATTTATCCAAGAGCAAGGAATGCCCCTTTAAGTTTATTGTAACAAAGGGGGGGAAAGCCACACTCAAAGGAAACTAAAACCTTCAAGTACTTGTAGAGCTGATTTTTAAAAAAACATAATGATAGCCTCATGAACTTTAACCCAACACATTCAAACAACTATCATTTCATTATGTGAAATTCATGACTCCACATTACAGGTAGCCTTACCTCAAGGATACTGCAGATTTGGTTCCAGACTACAATAAAATGAGTTGGTGGGGTTTGTTTTCTTTCTCCAGCGCATATAAAAATTATGTTTACACTATATACTACATGTGAAATAGCATTATAAAAGTTTTAAATATTCTAAGAGTTTCCAAAATATGACACCAAGACTTGCTGTTGGAACAACAGCACCAATAGACTTACACTGTAGGGTTGCTACAAACTTGCTTTTTTCGAATGCAGTATCTGCAAAGTGCAGACTCCTCATACTGCAATAAAAGGTTTGTTGTACATCGTATCTGTGCAGTGATTATTAATGCTTAAAAAAGAGATAGCAATAATTTTAAGGGCTTCTAGTTATAATCACAAAGAAAACTAATTTAATCAAAGATTTCCTTAATCAAAGAATTCAACTAAGAACTGTCTGTAAATATGTTAGTAATGGAAATATTACTTTAGAAGCAAGAATGGCAAACCTTCATCTCACATACTTTGGACATGTTATCAGGACAGACCAGTCTCTGGAAAAGGAAAACATGCATGAGAAGGTAGAGGGTAGCAGAAATAGAGGAAGCTCCTCAACGTAAATGGAGTGACACAACAGCCGCAACAAGGGACTGAACCACAACAATGGCGCAGGACCAGGAGGTGCTGTTTGTTGTACATGGGGTTGCTATGAGTTGGAACCAACTTAAGGGTACCTAACAACAACAACAAAACTAATTGGTTGGGGATTCTTAAAAACTTTTTAGATATACCTATCCTACCAATAAATGTGTCCTTCTGAAATTAAATATAAAGCCTTTAATCCTACCCATGGCATAGGAAAACTTTCTAGACAATGTCTAATGTATTTTATACTGGGGACCACTGAAAGTATGAGCACTACATATCGCTGACTAAAACACTTCCATACCTCTATTTTATTTTTCTCAGCAGCAGCTTGCAGAGAAGGAGAGGATACCAAAGGTTGAAGAGGAGCATCAGAGGAGGAAATCTGTAGAAAGCAGACGAAAAAGACAGGAGGGGACACACACATACACACACAAAAAAATGTAATCAAAACTGATAGGCACAGAAAGAAAGAAAAAATTATGTAATTCTGAGATACAGAAGCACTTAGAATCATGTTAACAAAGAAAGATAATGCATCAACACAGTATTGCTCTATCGAAATTTGTGTGAAATTTTCAAAAGTAAAAGGTTTTATTACACAAAATAATGCACTGATTTAAGATGGCTTTCACTAAGGTATAAAATTTTAAATGGACCCCAAAATGTAGCAGATACATTTGAAAAATAAGTGTTTCTCTCATTGTTTACTTTTAGCCAATGTTACTACTGAAATATTAATGCCACAAGAATAAAGACATGCTCCAAATAGCAAAAGATGAAGTGTGTTTTTATTTTTAAATGTTTTACGAATGAAAAATAAAACTGGAGTTGTAAGAGTTCATTAAAATTCCAATCAACTATATAAGAAAACAAAAATTCTGGAAGCAAAAAGAGTGGATTAATGTAAAGTAACAGCTGAGCAGAAGGCAAACTTATTATAAAGTAATTTATATAGTCTCTTCTTAAAGATCAGCACACAAACCCACCATTTCCAATGATGTACTTGCTGAATTACTCCAAAGTATTATAAGACATTTATATATGCTGCAGATGCAATTTACACATGAAAATCGGTTTCATCTAAAAGCTTTTTCACACATCTTCATGCCCAATCTCGACAAGTGTAGTTGATCACTTTAATGGAAGCATTATCTTCCTGCTCTCTTCACTGCCAAAACACAACTGAAATACACTTGCAAATTGTGTAGTAGATCTTTGCAGCCTTAAAAGTGACATCTCCATATTGCCCTATCATAACAATAGTGCTTATGAGAAATTTTCTTAAAAATAAAAGCCATTACACAGATTAGGTGATTATGTAATGTTAAAATAACATTGTAAGATGACAAATTCTCATTCAACCTGCTTGTTCTTAAGTTATAGTTACGGCATTAATTTTTTAAATCACAACGAAAACTCACAGACTAAGTGGCCCCACTCCCTTCAACTGTTGGCTCTGTGGTAACTGTGCACACTGACCATTTACTAATAGAAATAATGCTTAGAAGAAATTACACAAGGAAATCTAGACTGTTGATATGAAAATGTTAAAATGATGCCATAGGGCCTTATTTCAAAGATGGTTTGTTAGTAAGATATTTACTTGCTAGAGATCTTTAAAGTATCACTTTGTATAGAAAAGAGCACATGACATAATCACTTAAAAAGACAATATCCTATATGACATCTTCCCCAATATGTACATGCTGAGCTATTATGATCATAATGATAGGGGGTATGGTGACAAGGGTTGGTAAACCTTAGAATCGGAAAGATAATTCATCGCAGAAGTGTTTACGCTCCTTTTGAGAAAATAAGCCGATACAGGCACTGAAAACCAGGGATATAAAACTCCAATCCTTAGATTTGACAACCAAAGCATTAAGGGTTTTAATACTGAGAATATATAAAGAACTCATAAAACACAACAAAAAGATGAACTCAATTTTTCAATGGGCAATTCAAGCTGCCAAACTTTGGCTGAACACCATTGAAAGAGCTCCATTCCTTACCCATTACCCCAAACCTGCTACATGTAATTCTGACTCACAGCCACCCAACAGACCGCGTAGATCTGTCCCAGGGAATTGCTAAGAGCACAAATCTTACAAAAGCAGAGTTCTGTATCTTTTTCCTCAAAGAGTGGCTAGGGGTTTAAACTGCCAATCTTTTGGTAAGCAGCCAAACACTAACTATATTTCATTACCAAGGCTCCTTCTCATTAACCACTATCTACAAACCAATACCACAACAAGCTGCCCACTACAATGGCCATAATCAAAAGCAAAATAAGAAAGCAAGTGTTGACACAAATGTGGGGTGGGGAGAGAAGAGAACCTGTCTCCATAGCTGCAATGGAAAACAGTTTAGCAGTTCCTTAAAAAGTTACACATAAGCTGTCATTATGACTCACTAATTCCACTCCTACATATACACCGAGGAAAGTGAAAAGCAGTGAGGCATGCACACACACGCTCATCAGTGTTCACAGCAACACTATTCACAACAGTCCATGGAAACAAACCACATGGCTGATAGGTGAATGGTTACCTCAACTGAAATATTGTGCAGCCAGAAAAAGGCATGAGGTCCTAATACAACCACTGTTTACTTTTAAACATCATTAAGTTCCAAAGACCACAATGATATTCAAAAGTTAGCATTCTGAAAAAAAATTTAAGATATCTACATCCGATTATAAAACAGAGGATAACTAAGTATCATTATAAAACTGTCAAACCAGAGAATTACTGTAATCCATCTAAGATAGTGGTTCTCAACCTTTGGGTTGCAACCCCTTTGGGGGTTGAACGACTCTTTCACAGGGGTTGCCTAAGAGGATTGGGAAAACACATTACAATTTACATTACAATTCATAACAGTAGCAAAATTAGAGTTATGAAGTAGCAAGGAAATAGCAACTTTATGGTTGGGGTCACCCCAACATGAGGAACTGTATTAAAGGGTCACGGCATTAGGGAGGTTGAGAACCACTGATCGAAACTAACAACTACTCGCATGAAACTATTATCACAGGTAATACTCTGATCTTGTACTTCATCATTTGTTCGTACCAGGTATATGTTGTTAATGTGCAAAATATTTTTTTACTATAGTAGTAACTTATAACTGTGACATGTTAGCTAGCTATCAAGACAGTGGACAAATGAATAGAGGTGTACATGCTATAACAAATACACCTTAAAACTTTTACTGAATGAAATATGACAATAACGAAGGAGTAAATATTGTGCAATCTTATAAATTTAAAATGGTCAGAACAGGCTGATGTACAGAGACTAAAGTTTAAAAGCGATTAGCAGAAGTGGGAGGGCGGTGAGAGAAGTCGTTGTTTTGGAATATTGAGTGTCTGTTCATGGTGATGGAAAACTTGGGCATGGATATTGGTAATGGCTCCACAACTGGTGAAATCGTCTCAGTTAACAAAAAAAAAAAAAAAGGATGCCTGGTTTAAGAAACCAAAAATGAAACCCACTGCTGTGCAGCTGGTTGTGGCTCACAGCAACAGCACAGACAGTAAGAACTGCAGTTCCCAAGGCGGTACATCTTTATAGACTGCCATTTTTGTTCCTGCAGAATGACGAGTGAGTTCGAGCCGTCACCTTCCAGTGAGCAGGGCAATGTGAATGCCAGTGAGCCACCAGGACGCCTGCCTAGACCTCGGGTGAGGATTGATTAAGAAGGGATACAAACACTCTTTTTAGCGATGGAAAAGGTTCCCTATATTGATTATGGAGGTACAGAGGTACATGTGTTTGTCAAAACTCGATTAACTGTACCTCAAAATGCCCGCATTTTGTGTTGTATAAAGTATACCTTATTAAAGTTGTTTTTGTAAATAAATAAGCTAAGTAGTGAAGAAAGAGACTAACATTGACACTAGGAAATGAGGGAAACAACAGAATACAAAAGTAGATGGGGGGGGAAGCAATGCATAAGAAGGAGAAAAACAACCTTTCAAAATCTTTTTTTCCTCGAATAATATTTCTATTGGCATATCTTACTTATTCCAATATATCCCTTCCCTTCCCATACAGTTCTGTTGTTCAGTAATATCGAGTAGGGCTAACAATCATTAATGCTAACAATCCCCCCCACCTCTTCCTGTATCCTCAGGGAACCCTTACTCCTGTCAGTGTCTCTGAGGGGCCATCTATCTTTGACTACCATGTACCGAGAGCTCTCAAAAGGACAAATGAGCATACGCACGTCTAATGTGACCAATGAAGTATATCACCTACGGACCACAATAGTAGGGAAGGGAATCTTAAAGATCCAGAGGATAGTTATTCCAGGTCTAATCTTAAAATCATCCCCTTCCACTGGAGAGGTCTGGGGGGGGCTGGTCCCAGCCCCAAACACTAAGTGGGTGCCTGCCCCTCCCCCGAGAAGAATTTATTTCAAAGGATGGCACTGAATCTGCAGCTTCGGGAGAAGGACATATCTGACCAGAGCACACAGGAGCAGATGACGGGGGAAGAGGAGAGACTGGAGCACATCCTG